GCCGCTGCCGCTGCCGCCGCTGCTGCTGCTGCTGCTGCTGCTACTGCCTACAGCTACTGCTACTTTTACTGCTGCGACAGCAACATAGGCAAAGACAGGAGCAGCAGCAACAACAACAACAACAGCAGCAGTAACAAGAGAAACAACAATGACAAAAACACTGACAATGACACTGACAATAACAAAACACTCCAGTGCCAATGCCACTAGCAATACCAACGCCAACAGCGACAGCGACAGCAACTGCGTCAGCACCAGTACTAGCACCGTCGTAGCGCAACAAGACTACGCAACGAATTGACATCTTGGCATATCCGTGCGAGTGTGTGGCATGCCAGGTCTCCGGGATCATCTCGCCACAAGCCGGAGGTAGTTCGCATTTTGCACCCCTGTTCCGTTGCTTCCGACTGCACACCCCGTAGCAACAGCGTCGGAATCTGTCTGTCTGCGAGATGGGTCAGCATCAGCCTGGAGAACCGCTGGTGCCTTAGGATAGCAGCGGCTATGCTTTGCCCGCCAGCTTTCCGCAGCTAAGTTGAAACTTCCTTTCTGCTTCCGACTGCCGAGGCCTCCGATGGCTTCTTGCCAGCAATCGGCGATGATGCCGAGGTCCGCAATGAACTGCGGACCTTGATGATTCGTGCTCTGGATATCGTCTAGGGTCGACGGCACGGCCTTGTCTCTCAAAGTTCGTGCTGCTTCTGGTCAAGGCAGACCTCGGGGATGGGCTTGTGCCAACAAGGGTCCTTCTGCTGGAGGACGGCGAGGCTTGCGACTTGCAGTTTCTTTTATCCGAGCTGTGCCGATGCATGTGAGGCCCTTCTGCGAGGGCTGGCCTGTGGCCGGTATGCCTGGATGGCCTTGAGCAGCATCTTTGCCCCCGGAGCATCGAAGGCGCGAACGAGAGGAGACCTCTGTGTGAAGCGATGCCTTCGATGCCTTCGATGCCTTACATGGCCGTGCGAGAACGCGAGGCCTCCGCACAGCACCGGGCAGTCCTGGGTTTGGGGCCGGAGGCCGGACCAGTCGAGGCCGGGGAGGTCTCGGGAGCTATGCGAGTATTTTTCCTTAGGTTTGTTGAAGCAGGGAGGAACAGAGCTCTCACTTTTGGGGGTCCCTTCAGGCGGGTCGAGCTTATCGCAAGCTCGCCCGGCATCACCATCCTGATAAGGCGCTGCAATGCTCCGCTTTGCCCCGTGGCAGCATGCCAAAAGTATCTTGACATTTCAGGGTGGCGACGCAGAAGCTTTCCTGCGACTTCGTGCTGCCTACAAGGCTCTGGCGCCACTCTGTTCGCAAGAAGCTACCGTGCGGGCTGTCATGGGGATATCCCTTTGCATGGACCTCTCGTGTTGAACAGATCATAGTATAGAAGATAGATTTTCCCCGAAAGATTCATGTTTGCCGAGGACAGACCCTGGAATCGATGATCCCGCCACGCCACCCAGGCCAGGGGCAAGTTCTCGAAATTGTTACAGGTCCAACTCGAAAGAGTCCACGCTGTTCTTGCTGGCCTATGGCGTCTTACGATTCACGATGGGGCGCCTGTTGCTCTCGAAGAGAAGCTTGGATGTGATAATAATGATGCTGGTACCACAGGTGAGGATAAGGATGATCTGCGCAGCTTCTGGATGGACACGTGAAGAGTCAACAGCAGCTGTGCCAGCACACGGACGTCACAGGGCACATATCGTGGCCGCTTACTCCACAGCAGAACACAGCTTCGCACTGTCCGGTACCAATGCAAATAACATCTTCGAGACAAGACCAACCCTTCTATACCAGTGATGGAGTCGCCGGCTCTTGCGGTCACTGCTGCTGCCCTGGCTGGAGTCCCAGAGCCTTTCTGAAGCAGCCCGTGACGGGACAGCATTGCTGTCGACTGAGGCCGCTGGGACTGTGGCGACTTTCTTATCGTGGCTTCGCTCTAGACGCGTGCGGCTTTCGGCCCCGACCGCGGCGGACGTTCTTGTAAAGCACGGCAGCTCGCTCGTCGGGAAGAAGGCCTTTCGAGAGTGGTTTTGAAGAGGTCCCTGGTCTTGTCTGAAGCCTGAAGTAGTTCGGTGCAAAGGTCCTGGTGACGGGTGCCTGTAATGGCATTGGCTTCGCTGTGGCTCGGGCGCTGCTAGATGCATGTACGACACCCAGCATGAAGACGGTCTCTGCAAGAGTTTCATAAGCAGCAAGGCAGCAGGAAAGAGCTGAGGCCCTGATTGCAGGCTCATGGTGAATGGGCGCAGCATGGAGCGAGTCAGTGGGATGCCACCAGTCTTTCTATCCGGATGTGTTCGATCTGCCACCGATGTAGGGCTGTGGGTTTAAGCATTAAAGGCGCAGTTTGATTTTTTCATCTTCTCAAGCTTTCCTGAAATCTGCGCCTCGTAGCAACGACGGAAGCCCTGCATGCTCCGCTTGGGTCGTCGTGGGTACTCCGCCCAGGCTTTCCCAACTTCCGGCGCATGCACGGAGCCGTTGCCACGCGGCCCGAACGGCAGATGATGCTCCATTTTTGGGCTTCGAATCGACTTCGGATTGATCTGCTAAAGCCGGATCAAGTGACCATAGTAACCCCCCCTTCAGCTGCGCTGAGGCGAGGCTGCGATTGCCGATCTTAGCAGCCTCCGGGAGGTGGACGAGCTGTGCAAGAAGTTGGCCGAATCTCCTCCAGATGCTCCTTGGCTCCATCTATATATATATATGTGTAATGTATATATGTATATACACACTATACACTGTATACATTCATACATATATATATATATGCAAATGTAAACGTACTTTCTTTTTACACTCACTCACTCACTCACTCACTCACTCACTCACTCACTCAGTCACTCACTCACTCACTCTCTCTAGACATGTATGCTATGAAACCGATGTATAATATATATATATGTGCTCACATGTGTATATATATATATATAGAAGTATATATGTATATATAGATAGATAGATATAGATAGATAGGTAGATAGATAGGTAGATAGATAGATAGATAGGTAGAGGACATGTACTATAGTCACGCTACATACTATACATACTGAGTATAGTAAACGTACTATACACAATATAAATATAAATATGTATATAGATACACATATATCCACATGTACTATACATGCATGTGTACCCGTATACTGGATATTCGTCTGTACTTTGAAGACTATATCACTACACGCATATACTCTATGTGCATATATATATATATAATTCACACATACGGTTGTATATACTACCTATACTGTATAGTACTAGGCATGTTACATTTACGGTATACACTATATATATATACATATATATATATATAGATATACAGATATATTTATTAGTGTAGTATGCATACTATATGTAGTAGCTATATGTGATGCCATGCATACATACATATTGTTTATACTATATACACTCTCTACAAATGTGTGTGTACATATATACATACTGTATATACCGTGCATATATATATATATATCTGTATATCTCTGTAGTTACTGTATGTACTGCTCATACTTTACATACTATGCATACTGTTTACACTGCATGTGTATATAACATGTACACACCATGCATACTAGATTTATGCTATATAATTTATACGTATACTGTACATAGTATATTTGCTTTAAGTATCTATATGTACTATATGTGCTATATGCATTTTATATACTGTGTGTACTGTATATACTACATGTACTATGCTTACAATTTACATTGTATACACTATATACACCATATATACTATGTATACTATGTGATCTTTATATACTTTATACACCTTATAGTTTTACTGTGTATATGTATCAGATATGATACAGACTGTATATATACACAGTATACACGCTAATGCAAATAAGAAGTAAATAAGTGTACAAACGCACATGCAGGTACATGTATAGTACACATAAATGTACACACATACACATGCACACACACACACACACACTCCCCCTCTCCTTCCATATATAGATGCGTACGCCGCACATATATATACGTATATATATACACACATATGGTTACACAAACATATCATTTGCATGCATACATACATACAGGCATGAGTACATGTATTTGCATATGTATAAATAAATAAATATATATATATACATATGTGTGTATGTAGGTAGGTATGTATGTATGTATATGTATATGTATATAAAAATATGCGCACATGTGCATATATCTATATATACATATATATATATATATGACACATGTGTGTGTGCACTCACACACGCACATGTACACACACACACACACCCTCACTAAAAATAACACAAGCTGAGGGCTAAAGCTCGCCCTTCAACAGCGAGATACGGGCTCGATCTTTTCATGAGAGTGTCAGCCAGGTAGTCGTGTGCTGCGCCGGCATTGCGACCCTTCCGAGATGGACGCCGACTTCAGATGGATTCTTGGAGTGTTTAGGGAAGTGACGTTGGAGCTCGGTTGCAGCTTCATCCTATCCGATTCGCTGAGGATATGAGAGTCAGTTTGCTGTGACGCCCGTCTCAGTGTTCCATGGTGCCAACTACTGATGGGAGCTTGACGCTGAGCGTTTTGAGGAATCACCTGGCTCATTTCCATCTGGTCTCCTCCCTGGTGGAATCTGCCAAGCATATCCGTGTTGCAACCCGCCTGATTCTCTTTGTTGACTTGATGTGCTCGTCGCACTATCGCGTCTGATCTGTCCTGGGAGCTGTGCAATTTCAGGTGATGGTGTCATCCGACCTACAGCGAGTGGGGCAGAAGCTCTGGCAAAAGCTATGCTGTGGCGATCGAAGCTGTTTGATTACTGATTCTGTTCCGCCCATCTGCTCTTGCAAGGAAGTTTTTGCAAATTGAGCTTGACACCATCAACAGCAAGAGCCGCTCAGCACAAGCCATGTCTGCGACAAAGTACCGGTGACATTCCGTTGTACGGGGTGGGAGGGGCAGGTCAGGGTGCAGGCACCTTTTGGCGGAATTCAGGACACACAGGTCTTTCAATGAACATCGTCAGGAGATCGTGCCATGTACTCGGGTGGTGCTTGATTCCCTGTCAACATAGCCGTATGTGGTAGATTCAATCGACCTCCAACTGCCTTAGTGGCACGAAGGATATACTCATAGCGGCTGGCCATGCAACTCCCAGTCTGCATCAAGACGAAAGGCTGCACAACCATTCAGCTCTGCCATTGCCGCTTGTGGCGGAGCTTGTTACTGAAGCACGACTTCTTTTTCAGCTAACTCCTTTCTTTCCTGCATCTCTCTTGATCTTTTTCGTCTTCCCCGCTCGTCGCTATGCCCACAGCACATAGGCATAGTCTGCAGCAAATATGGTCTCTCCGGGTTCTTTCCTTACTTGCATTCTTGGTTTTCGCTTTCTCCCTTCTCCGTGAGTCTGTTGTTTCCTCTCGCCTCGGAGCACTCGTCGGCAGGGCCGAGCGTGAACCGAGCCCATGTTTCCGATTCTTCTGCCCTCCGATTTGTTGTGTAGCTCCCGCTTGTTTGTTGTTTTAAGTTTTCACAACTCGGGTAGACCGAAGCTGTGAACAGGCAACCTCCACTTTTGAACAATTTGGAAGTGAACGCCGAAGATGTGTTAAGCCCGTACTGTAGGACCCGTAGGATGCGGCCTCGGCGGCTTTGAAGCTTCGGCCAGTAAGACCGGCGCAGCAATGATACGCATCGACATGCGACTGAGTGCAAGTCTTTGCCTTCTGGTTTCTGCAGCCGCATGCAGTGATTCTGGAGATGGGAGCTGCCGCAACGAGACCATCTTCGCCGTCTTGTCTGTGCTTGGTGTCTGCGCTTCATGCAGCTGCTGTGTACTGTGGGCCTCCTGGTTGTGTGGTCTCTGGGAGCAGGCTCGGAAGCCTACACTGATGATGAGTCTGGTTCCATTCCTGATGACGGCCTTCTGTGCCTTAGCACCTCCATTGGTCCGGGATGATCCTGGGAGATGCTTTGCCGCGACACTTCCAGAATCAACCCAGCTCTATGGTCTTGAAATGGTCCTTATGCTCTCTGCCCAGATGGGGGTGTCGTGGGCTGGTTTGGGCGTGTCAGTGGTTTGGCTGTCTCAAGTTCCTGCGAAGACTACCTTGGGCATCCTTGCAGTCAAGTACTCGATGTTGACAGCCCTCTTGAACATGATGGGTCTGTTGGGTTGGACTCTCGGTGGTTGCATGACAGCAGGAGTAGACATATTTGACATAAACGCTGCAGTCTTTGCCTTGTCGTTTACCGGCAGCTTTGTCACCAATATCATTCTGCAAAAGATCGTGATCGTCAGAACAGAGACTCACTCCGACAAAGAGGCAGCTGGACGCATGCGATGCACGATATATGGGGAATACATCGGGGGAGCACTATTGTGCCTTGGAGCCCTGTTGCACGGCGTGACGAGAGGACAGGGTATTGTGCCCGGCGGACTGCTCTTCTCTTTTATCTACATTTTGGGTAGCCTCCACCTGTTGGTCTTTGACGGCATCTTCTCCTGGCATGCCTACGTGGCCTTGCGGCAGACTCTGCAACAGGCGCAAAGTGCCTTGCCGGCCAAGGCCTGTGGTGAAGGCAGGACAGGCACAGCTGTGGCTGTGGCCAAGAACAACTTGCGCCTTGTCCTGCTCGCCGTTCTGGGGACTAGCCTCCACTACTGCACCGTGCTTGCCCTCGCAGCTTGGTTTTGCGTCTCTCCTCAAAGCTTCTTGCGCTTCAAGTTCTTCCACGTTCTGTTTCCTGTGTGGTGTTTGGACAGCATCTTCAACGACCTCTGTGCTGTTTACATTGGCTGTGGGCCAACAGAGGCAGGTCGAGCATGGCGCAACCCTACTTGTCAAGCAACGGAAACGACCCCAACCTGTTTGTCCTTCTTTGATGGCATTCCAATGATTCCCAACATCAGGAACAAAAAACACACGAACACAAGCTTTTGGGTGGGATATCCCTACCTTATTGCCATGCGTAAAAACTTATGGGATATCCCAGCTATATGATGTATGGTTTTTGTTTACGTGCACTTTCGGGTCCGTACAAGTGTCCACTGCCTACACGACTGGACCGGTAAGAAGAGCCTCCCAAGGATTGACGCCTAAGCCCAGTCGAAGGCAAGTTCCTTCAATTGGAGCCCGAATCAACAGAGCGCACTCAAGATTGTTCACCCGTCGGAAGCCTGCAGAGCACACGCTCGCTCATCTAGAAGTTCGACTGCAACGTCGCAGACATGACAATGCAGCATTCATTCCTACTAGTAGAAGCAAAAGTCCAAGCCGCAAGCCCCGAAATCCTAAGCCCCACACCCCAACCCCCCCGGCCGAAACCCTTTAGACTAAACCGTAAACCCCCAGGCCCTAAAACCCCAAACTAAACCCGAAACCCTGAATTTGACTGAGCCTTGACAGGAGGCCCTGGAGTTGGTTTCCCACGTCGCTGAGGCCACGGTGGTGGGCCGGCCAACGGAAGACGCTTCGATCCCGGGACAGGTCGGCACGGTGCAGTGGAAAGAGAAGCAGCACGTAGTAGAAGCAGACTCGTCGTCGTCAGCAGAATGAAGTAGCGTAAGTAGAGTAAGTAGAAGTCGTGGTCGTCGCAGTGGCAATCGACGGAAGTCGTGGCCGTGGACGTAGTCTTCAGCGTCCTCATTGTGAACGTGGCGGTGGCAGCAGTAGTTGTAGCAGTGGTATGTAGTGGTTTGTACAAGTAGTGGTATGTAGTGGTATATAGGTAGTAGTGGCCGTCGTCGTCGTCGACGTCGTCGTCCTAGTAGTAGTAGTAGTAGTAGTAGCAGCAGTAGTAGTAGTAGTAGTAGTAGTAGTAGGAGCTGGAGCAGGAGCAGGAGCAGGAGTAGCAGCAGTAGCAGCACTAGTAGTTGTTGTAGGCCATTGTAGGATTAGGAATAGGTGTGGGAGTAGCTGTAGCAGGAGTAGGAGGAGAATCAGTATCATACCAACATCAGGAGTAGTAAGTAGTAGTAGTTGCATTGACTGACTTGATTATGCCGATAAAGCGAAGTGCTGCAAGATGCGGACATTGCCCAATAAAATTTTAAGACTAAATACTGGCAGTAGCAAGAAGTGGTGTTGATCTTCCAGATAGTAAAGTCGTGAGTTGCAACACCAAGGTCGCAAGCAAATGCCACATCACTGCATCATCACCGCAAGCGGAAGCAAGCCTATTGACGAGCAGTGCCGACTGCCGAAGTTTCATCAAAACAAAACAAGTTTGCTTGAGGGTCCCCTCGAACCGTTTCAGAGAGGGTCTCGTGCGCTTCGCACATGCAGAGTTTTCGGTGCCGTGGAGTGCTTGTATTTCGTTTCACAGGAAAGTCGCACCGGGTTTGACAACTTAAGGTCAACATGTGGAAGGCTTCTGAGACAAATCTTCATACACCTGGCGAAGATTGTGCAGGTCGTCGTCGCAGGTCATTGCCAAGACAAGCCACGGACGAATGAGAGGCTGCTGGCATCGCACGGCCTCGGCTGGGATTCCAACACTTGTACATAGAATCATAGAACACGACACAACGCCCACGCAGGGTTGTCGCAGCAGCATCCATGCCTGCCGTGACATGATATCCTTGAACTTTAGCCTCCAAAGGAGGTTGGACGGCCGATTCGCTGGCTGTAGACATGTCATTCGTGGCCCTGCGCGACCTCGCGCAAGAAGGCCGATTTTCTTGTAGCCTTGCTGCTGTCTGCGTAGGTTGCATATGGCTGTATATTTGTCCTGTGAGTGTGCTTGTTGAGTTTCTGCAGCCGGTGGCTCTGTGATCACTCGGGACCACTCGGCTTCCACACTTCGCTTGCCCGTGCTAGTTACGCAAAATACAGTGCAGGATCCAGCTTTTGCTACGACGAATACTACGACTGCATCTGGAACCGACGATACTTGTGACGGTGCCGGCGATGATGTTGATGCTGGTAGTAGTGGTGGTGACGATGACCAGGACGATGGTCGACATACGGGGCTTCTCCGAAGCAGAGATACCAACTCTCATCGGGGTGAACAGTGAATAGGCACCGTTGAACCGAAGAGTGTGTGACCGAATTTGTTGCAGATGGGACACGACCCGCTCAGGCCACTACAGCTTCATTGGCAACTATTTGGCGTCAAAGCATCTTGTCGAAATCAGTCGACAGCCTCCCCTGTGATCTGCCAGAGTCTCCGCAGAGTCTCCGACTTCACAGCTCGGCCGAGGTACTGCAATGTCCTCTTCGCACGTTCTCTGCACCAGCGGAAGGTCGAGGCTGTCAGCTGCAGCCCAGGTGCGACAGGGGGAGACAGCCTTCAGTGGCCGGTAGCGAAACCCCATCTCCGGACACCGAGCTCACCAAGGTGAAGTGGCCACCGAGATCGATCGACACCTTCCTTGGCTGATTCGTGTCGCCTTCCGTGCCTTCCGCCGAGCGCAGACGCCCGAGCAGGGTGCTGCCAGAGCCTCGGGTCCCAACGGCTTCACGGTCCCCGATTTCAAAAAGAGGTTCCCAAAATCTGTAGTGGCCATGTTGCAGCTTGAGGCCACCGTTGCCTACTGCATGGCGGCTGACGTGGTATCTGGTGGCTTCTATGCGCAGTGCGCGCTGACAGACCTTGAAGGCCGCAGAGCGTGAGGGCCAGGCGAAGAAGCTGCAAGTGACTGAAGCCTTGAGAAGCCTCGAGGCCCAGCACTGGAGGGCAAGCTCTGGAGCTTCAGTGAGAGCCTGGTGGCTGCGGCCCTCGAACGACAGGACAGTCAGTCCAGCGACCCCCCGTCATGACCTCCCGATGATTCCTCGAAGCCCCGGTTCTGTGAGCAACTGTCCATACAAGCGTTTTAAGCACCTGTACATGCCATACATGCTATGGACAGCCAGAGCAAGTTGGGCATTACATCTGGAGGGCTTGTGCAGTAGCAAGCTGTGCAATAGTTGTCACCTGCACAGGACTCAGCTCAGAAGCGGCAAAGCTGATCGAAAAGACCGTATGCCTGGTACGCCTGGTACCGTGCCAACTGCCATGTACTTCTCGCCTTCGGCTTCCGTGCTGAGTTCGACGCTAGGGCCACGAGGGCAATCGCACGTTGATTGGACGTTGCAGAGCCCATATCGTTTCAAACTTAGCAACGTAAAGCTGGCTGTCTGTCCGGCAAAGGCTGTACAGGAGCACAGAAACTTGAGTTCGACGCGACGCAGATGCGGCGTCTAGCTTCGTTTGCCTGCTTGGGCAGGCTATAGTATTCCTTCATCAGACTGTACCGGGGGGCGAGTCCTGCTGGAAACTCTTACGCTTGATTGCTTTGTCAAATCACCCGAATGTTAAGTACTAGGCCACTGAGAAGAAGCCTGACCCCCTAAACTCTTAACCTTCTAGCAGCAGTGCAATATTGCTTGTACAGGTTAGGATGTAAACAACCAGAAGGGGTCATTCAAATACAGTAACCATGATACTACCGGCACCGCTGCCTCGACAGCTTCTTCTGCTACTCCTTTTTATTCTCCTGCCGCTGCTGCCAGCTCCACCATTAATAATGGTATAGGCTTGTGCAGTATGATTTCGTTTGGGTGCACGAGCTGCTCTAAGATAGAAGACCAGTGCAACTTGAATTGCGACATGTATTGCAGTTACATGAAAAACTCCTACTTATTATCTCCGAAATGGGATCATGATAGAACTAACAGTATGAAGTTCCACAAGACTGCAAATGGCGCAAGTAGTATCAGCAATGCTAGTATCCATGCACAGCAGCAACTTCAAAATATGGACCTGTCGCAGCCTCCCTCAGGCGAGCGGCCACTTCAGCTCACGGTCCACAAGGCTGCGGTGTGAATGTACCGTGGCTTCATGCTGCGATGGCCATGAGGATGATGTCAGGCTACTGCATTTCAATCACCACCGCCATGAGGATGAAGAGGATGCGTAGTATGGTGATAGTGATTACATGACGATACCGTTGATGACCTTGCTGCTGACTGTGATGTTTGTCGCGATGGAATCCGCCATGGCCCCGGTACCGGTACTACTGCCATTGTCATGACAACTGTTGGTAGGTATTATTGTTGTAGTTGTTGATCATAACGTTGATGGACCGGGTCTACTGTCGATGAGGACGTGGTTGAGAATGAGGATGCCGATCGAGATGCTGAGGAGCAGGATGAGGTCACCCAGGATTTTGAGGATGAGGGCTGCAGATGACCTTCGCGAGACAAATCACGTCAGCCGACTCACAAGTATGCTTCCCATAGTCTGTGAAGTGTGATGTGGCCTGTCATCACTGTGGCAGCCGTAAACTACTGAGTCGAATCCGCTGCAGAGAAGAGCAATCGCGGGCAAGTGCTGGAGCAACATGTCAGGTGATGGTGTGATTCTCACGCCGGAAGCACCAGCAAGGCGGGGTGTCAAGTACTGTAGAAGCACAGCCTTCTGTTGTTGTGGAGGTCATGCTCTGTCTTTACCAGTGCACCGCATTCCACCAATAGTTTGGTGCTAGCTGCTAGCTGGTTGCAGCACTTCAGCACCGAGCAGAGGCGCCTGCGCTGCAAAACTCCACCGGAGCAGGCGGGCTGCTGGCTGGAAGCAGCTACGTATTTCTATGCATATGGAAGGTGCCCAGTGAAGAAGCGCACCAAAACTTGAATCGAAGAACATCCAAGACCCAGTTTTGTATATCTGACCAAGTCTAATGGACTAGCTACAGTTCCTGGGACCGTCCAAGAGCCGATGCGAGAAAAATGAAGTGCCATGTTGACTTCTCGGCTGATTCTAGCTGGAGGAAGTGAGTGACGTCTTCTGCCGTTTGTTTAGGCTTCTTCACCTCCGGCGAAACGGCATTGCAGCAGGCATCGTTTACTCGTTCCTGAAGAAGCGACGACTTTCTTCTGTTCTGTTCGGGCTGCTTGTTGCTCTGAGCATAGAGGCTGTGACTGCGCCTTTCTGTGATCAGGACACCCTCCCAGCATCAGGTCAGTGCCAAAAAGGCGCTCTGCCGAAAGTCAGATCGCCATAGCGTTTCAGACGGAGCAGTCCCGACTCAGGTGCAGAAGGATGGCACGTCGAAGGAGCTCAGCCTTAATCAGGTCCTGCAGCTGATCTGGCTCTTCGCATTTGGCCAGACGCATATCAAAACCCCGGTTCCGTCCAGTTGATCGGCATTTAAGTCAGGCCTTGGCTAGGACTAGGAATGAGAGGAAGATGGTTGTAATCACGGATACCGATTTGGACAGGATGGATCGATCGGGGGGCAGGGCACAGGTAAACCACAGCCGGAAGGGCCCTGCGTTTCACACATTGTACAGTGACTTGCTAGCAACGGAATTGTGAAGCCCTGCAGCCGGTGCTGGATGTGTTTCCTGCACATGTGATGTGTTTCTTGCACATGCGGCTGCTCCTGAGCTGTCCCCAAGCACTGGAAACTTGAGCACGGGGCTTCACTTCTTGCATGCACCGCCACCGTGGAGGTTGACTCCCTAGCAGATACTCTGTGCCCGGTCGAGATGTGCTGTGGCTTTGGAGGTTTGCAAGTTTGAGCACCCAAGTTGCCCCTGGCAAGAGTCCTCAATGATTTGGAAGCACAACACTGCCTGCCTCAATTCATCAAATGTCGTCGGACATTTGCCAGGGACCCCTCTCTAGAATCCGCATCTCCTCCTGCCCTGTGTGCATTAGAGGTGGCCATGCGTACGTAAAGGTCGTAATTAGAAGGTGATGCTGTTAGTGCACATGGCAGGATGCCATAATTCTCGACGAGCAGCACGACTCCGTACTTACAGAGAGCTGGAAAAACAGAAACATCTGCTCTTCCTGTTGCAGCCGATGACAGAACGACAACCTTGCACCCAAACCTTGCACTTCTGCAACTTCCACTTCTACGGGCTGGCTCTACACAGGAGGCATGGGCAGTTTCTCATTCTCCAAGCCAGTTTGTCGATGACGGACACGTCAACACTTGCAAGACATGTCCAGAGAAGGATTCCCAGGCAAGCGAGATACGTAAATAGTTTGCCGTAGCCATGGATCTCCTTGGCTGGGAGCCGCTCAGGGAGGCTGCTCGAGACGAGGCTGGAGAGCCCTGCACACCAGAGCTCACCCCGTCAAGAAAGCAGACATCAATGCCTCAAGTGTCATGTGAGCCCTAAACTCAAGCCCTAACCCGCTTTCCCAAGCCCTAGTCAGCCTCGAAGGTGTCGCTAGCTGTTGGCTCGAGGAAGGCATGTGTCAAGATCGGCCACAACAAGTAGCAAGGGTAGCTTTCCATACTCTCGCATATCCTCCGGATTCTCTGGACCATGCACATCAACGTGACTCCAGCTGACTCAGGTTTCTTTAAACACTTGTCCAGCCTGCTGGCAGACCCTACAGTGGCCCAGTATCTCGCTGCACCAATGTCGTGGAGCTCCAGAAGGCTGCCCAAGGCGCACTTGCTGCAGAATGCAGTCCTGCAGCTCGGCTACGCAAATTGAGAGGGCGCGATACTCCTAGGAAGTGGACAGGGATGCTGATTCCGAGGCTGCTCGGCTGCTTTCTGTCGCTGCATGCAGCAAGCTTTGTGGCTTCCGGCTGCCATCAGAGGCCAGGGTTCCGGTAGCGTCTAAGGGGCAAGGACTGGAGGCGGCAGGGAGGATGCTTGGCAGAACGCCAGGCGGCCGGAGGTGGCCAGAGCCAGCCAGCAACTTTCCTCAAAGCTTGTGGAGGGCTGGCGGATGGTTACGGAAGTGCAAGATTTTAGTGGGGGTCACCAAGGTCGGACAGCGATCCCCAAGGCACATCTGGTAGCTCCTCTGCAACAGTGGAGACGGTACGGTCGTTGAGAGACTTCATGTTCTCGTGCCGATCCAAGTGTAATCACAAGGAGCAGATCATGGTGTAATTGCTATTTGCCCAGAGGAGACGCACCTATAGAGTGAGCACATCCCCTGGATTGTTCTGCTCGCGCCAAGTGCCTTTCTGATCCCTCTCTCTCACAGCTTTCGAAGCATTGCGCGGGCCTCTGAGGTAGTGTCATCGTAGCGTCGCGAGATGCAGAGAGCCAAGCGGAGGCTGGGGTATACTGGGGCCTCACGAGACAGCAAGGTGAGACGTTTGAGCAGGCACCTCGGAGCCGCGGTGCCCGGCTGCAGGGCACCGCGGGTGCGAAGAAGCCTGGGCCAGTCGCCAAGCCCAAACAGGCAGGAGAAGCCAATGCTCGCAGCGTCAGCTTGGCCAGTCGGCTTCGTGAGGAGTCACAGAAGTTTCCGCTTGCGGCGGCCGGTGCAGCAGCGCTTGCAGCAGCCGCAGTGCTCTTCGCCCTTTTTCAAGGTGCCTGGTTGTGAGTGTACGATGTGATGTGTTGCTGGTATTGCACTCCTGATTTTCCCGGAGCACTGGCTGGGCTTGTCTCATGGCTGGGCAAGTGATTCATGGGTTATGGCAGGCTCCAATCCTCAAGCAGATGGGATGCCGAGGGACGCGCCGCACAACTGCAGGATTTGGGAGGGATGCTGACTTGCATGATAGGCGGGTTGCACGGGTTTCTGGTTTCATTTATAGTCTCGTGGGCGTGATGGCAATGGCGGACAATGGTCTTCCACTGTGCGTTGAGGTACTATGTCTCCTCCAGCAGCTACGTGATTCAGAGCGTTCGCGACGAGTCTGGTCAGCTCCGGACCAAAGTGGACGAGAATCGGGGACTTTGGACCAACATTCCGGGCCTCAAAGGTAGGACAAGTGGAGAATGCTGGTCGCCGCTTTGCGCCCTTGCTTCTTCCGTCTTGGTTTGCAGGTGGACAGCGGTCCTCCTCTTCGGAAGCCGACCAGCGACTGCGTGAGGCACAGCAGGAGATGCGGCAGACGCAGGCCTATCTCGAAATGGAACGTATGCATTGCATGCATTGTGTGCATGCACGAATCAGGCATGTACTTACATGACATGAGCCTACACGTGTTCGTTCGTATGCGTGGACACGCAAAAGTACAGACTTGCAGACATCTGTGCGCGTGCAATCATCCAGATATCATGGGGCCTGAGCATCACATGTAGCCTCTTTTCTTGGCTTTCGCCGCGCTTCGGCTTTGCTCAACAATGGCATGCCGATGTGTGGCGTTTTGCCCTTACCTAGAAGATCCTTGTTAGTGTGCTAATCTTTGCTTCGGCCTGCTGTGACGAGCAGAAGAGGACTCTGAAGCGATCGCTGCCTTTCAGGCGCAGGTCGACCAAGCCATGGATGAAATGAACCAGGCCGTCTGCAGCATTTGGCAACAGCGAGTTTCTTTCGAGCACAGAGTTCTGAGGAGATGGCTTCCGTCTTCGGCTCGCCTATGGTGGCTCTGCCCGAAACCTACTGGAAGCAGACTTTGAGTATGCTTTTGCATCCCGTCGCTTGCATTCAGGTTCCCCTACTGAGAGAAGCGTGTCTCTGGGTGATCTGAAGGCTGCAGTCTTGCATGGCTGGAAGATACAGTCTGCCACTGCAGCATGTTGATATCCATTAGCTGTGCTGAATGCACATCAGTCCGGCGTTCTTAGGCCATTGGATACAGCAACAACCTGCTTTTGAATTCGGCGAGTTTCGGGTGTCTTTGTGGAGCCGCGAATCCTCGTGAGTCGTGCCCGGAAGTCTAGACCGTGGCCGACCGTTTCAGCATTGGTTTGTGGCGACACCACGGGACCACGAGTAGCAGTGTTCTTGATGTCAGTAGCAGCAGGGCAGTCATGGGCAGTCGTTCCGTAGTAGCTCTGACAGCTTGGGCCACGAGGCCGTTTCACATGGCCTCTCGAAAGACTCGGCTTACAGACTCCGGTGTGCAGCGCAGACCGAAGCAGTGCGACTTGATGTTGCAGCCTGGCACTTGTCTCTTTGCCTCAAACGGCTCACTTCATTCTCAGGATTCTTATGAGTCTTATGCCTTCTTTGCGCATCGACCCTGTCGAGGACTATGAAGCGGCCATGGCGTGTTTGCTCGAAGGGTCGAAGCCCCAGCATTCACTGCACGAGTACTACAAAATGCTACTGGCATACGCCGCCTTCCACTTCCGCCAGATCTCCTTTGCCTTGTGCTTGGAGGATGCGCTACACCGAGCCCATGGAGCTTCTGCAGTTGCTTCGCGGCGTGCTTGCGGAGGTGGTTTCCGTGTTTAGGGGCTTTTGCACCAGGGTCTTTTTTGTGCTTTGATGGTTCAGGTGATCAAGAAAGAGGAGGCAGCTGCAGAGTCTGCGAAGGACTGCAAGCCGACGGCTCTCACCAAGCTCCATGACTCACATGTTCTGGTTGCAGAATCCCAGCACAAACATGCGGAGGAATCTCGTGCAAAGAGAGGGTCGGGATTCAGTTCGAAGCAGGCCCGAGGACATGGGCTTTGCACACCTGTTGTTTGTCCGGCAGATCACGTTGCCAGGCAGATTCAGAAGCCTCTGCGCAGGAAAAGGACCCCAAAGAGGCCGGCGAGGTTCATAAAGCGAACGGCTTTTCGGATCAATGGTTCTGACCAGATGCAGACCAGAGCCTGCCGCAACACTGAAGCATCCACATCCTTCCCGAGCCATCGAGGCAGCTACCCGGCGCTGGCGACGAACTCTCCGTGCAGTCTTCAACGCCGAGGTCAGGCGCGCATGTTCCAAAAGCTTGGTTGCCTCTGAACTGCGAAAAGGCCGCCATTGCAATGTTGGGTGACCTACAGCAGATGTACAAGTCGGAGGAGTTTGAGAGGTCGAGCCACGTGCTTCCTGTAGCCTAGTATCCTGAAGCCCTGACCTTATCATTCGCTCGGGATCTTCCTCTGTGGCTATGTGCTGCTTGAAAGAGTGCGAGTGCCGAGAGTGCTCAGTTGCTGGCAGTTCTGATTGCAACGAGTAGAAGCGTCGGCACCCTGGGAAGCATACTCTTGTTGAGATCTGGCAAGATGTTGAGAGGTTTGTGGGCTAGATGGTTCTGACAACTTGGACGTGCATGGTTGGGTAGTCCTTTCCAGATCTCGTACCACCAACTCAGCCAACATGGTTTCCTGCGACAGTCAGGCTTAGTAGGCATGAGTCGGAAAAGACTAGGCCGCAAGCCAGGGCCGCCCGTGGACTCAACATTCGATGGAGGGGCACTGGGAAGCTGTACGCTGAGAAGATGGCTGGCCACCTACGGTAGATTCTTAGATGGGTTGGAGATGCCCTGTTGCTGAATCCAGCTGCTTTTCCATTCAGAGGCTTTGGCAGCCGGAGCCGTGCAGGAGTCTTCCGAATCTGATTCCCATGATGGCCTCAATAAGGCAGATATCGAGGAGCTTTGCTTGAAGGAGGCTCGCGACTCGTGAGTTTGCACTTTGCGAACAGATGTGCCGATGTTAGTATGTAGGCCCTGTCGGCACTTCATCTGCTTGCTCGCGAGTAGTACTGTACGCTGGGCGCCATGCTCTGCTCGCTCCTCTGCAGTGTCGGCTTGGCTCAAAACCCTCGGGGCCAAATACCCCACAAGTCGTGGCCGGTCTCTGAGCACGTGTAAGGCAAGTGTGTGCAAGTGTCCCCACCTGGAGAGTTCGCAACCCGCACTTAAGTCAAAGTCCGCATCTGAGGCAAGAGAGGACATGCCCCGAAGACGCAGGCGCTTTGGGCTCTCTGTGCTCGCGGATTAGCTTTGAAGTCCAGCTGGGCGTCTCCTCAGCGCCAGTCCAGGAGCGGAGCCACCGTCGCCGTAGCAGCCACACAGGCTCGGCCAAGCTTTCGGAGCACAGTCGGCACAGTGGCGCAGTCGCCAAGGTCACCTCGGGACTCTCTCCGACTGCAGACGATGAGGACCAGCTCAGTCCAGCTGCTTCATGTCTGCCACAGGCAGCAGTAGTTGTGCAAGGAGAGCAAGAAGGGTGGTTCCGAAAACAACCCGGAGGGCCAGGAAAACAAATTCCGAAAAGCAGCGGCCCTTGCGGAAAAGCCGCCGGCGGATTCAGAAAACCGCTACGTAACACCGGAAGCAGCTTCAGAGTTTGGGGTCCATGGATTTCGGACTTACGGTTTTGAAGTTTTGGGTTTAGGGCTTTAGGGTTCTTTTTGCCGGAGTTTCTGTGAGTGTTTCTCGTGTTTTTCTCGTGCGTTTCTGAACTGGTCCTCATTATTCTTGGATTTGTCAAAATCTGTCCGCAGCCCTGTGCCAAGATAGCGCAGTGACAGGAGCGGTCCATGCGCACTCAAGTCTTCGAGAAGACAAAGATGTGCGTGCTCCTAAGATCTCTGGCCTCCTTGCGCAAGTGGTAGGGTCTGCTACTTGGAGGTTCATGGGTAGTTATAAGTAGGATTATAAGCCACTAATATGGGTTCTATAGTTGCCCTACTTATAACCCCACTTATAGCTACCCATGAACCTCCAAGTAGACTTGCGACAGAGAACCCGTTCTGGCAGTGTCATGCCACGGAGGCAAATTCCATATTTTGGGCGCCTGCACCAAGGCCTGGGACATGCAACTTAAAGCCGCTGTCATCATCATACTACTACTACTACTACTACTACTACTACTACAACTACTACTAATAAGAATAATAATAATAAGAATTAGTAATACTAGTACTATTACTAATTAAGAATAAGAAGAATAACAATAGTAATATTAATAGTTTTTTAAATATTATTAATAGTAGTAATAACAAGAAATAAGAATAAGAATAATAGTAACAATAATACTAGTAATAATAACAATAACAATAATAATAAGAAGAAGGAATAATAACAAAACTAATCATAAGAATCAAAGTGGCAATCAAAAGCGCAGTCCATTGCCACAGTGGCAGTGCTGGTAAATGCAGCTGCAGCCAACAGTAAGTAGCACTTCGGCTGATTCTGGTAGTGGACTGGACATAGTGCCAGATAACATGTCGTGGTGGTGACCGCAGTAGTCCGGCCGCAGTCCATTCATAGGCGTGTATAGGCGGGAAGCGATTGACCCCTGGCATGAATGCACTCTTCCTTGGCTACGGAGACCAGAAGTAGCAACATCGTGTCAAGTGCGCTTCTGCTCAGGGTAGCAGCTGCCGTTTTGCGCACTCCCAGCCGCTGCGCCAAGTGATGATGCAGTTTCAGCCAGTGCCCTCAATACGTTGACCATCTTGCTTTGAGGTCGGAGTTGCAGTGCCTTCCCGATCTGGCATTGTCCTCGATGGCTCTGCAAAATCGAGCTGCTGCTTGCAAACACGGTCTTGGCCTAGGCGTGCACCAAATTGTGCAAGACTTTGATCGCAACTGGTGGCTGTGACAATCCCGACTGCCGATATGCTCACAGCCAGGAGGACTCTGTTACTTGTTCTGGAAGATGTCTTCTGCTGAGCCTCCTCCGATGTTGGCAGATAGTCCGACTCTCCTGAAATCGATTTCGGTGGCTTCGTCGTCGATCTGTCGGAACTCTGCAGCTGAATCTGGTCCTGTGCTCCTTCTGCCCGTGCCTCTTCCAGCGGAGCTTCTGGCACCCACAATGGCACTTGGTCCTTCGAGACCCGATTCTGTGTCGCTGACAAGCATGAACATGTCACACGATTTTGCTGGGCTGCTTCTCTTGGTTTCGATATTCCAGTCGTCCTGCTCACCTGAGAAGTAGGAACACAGAATGGAAAGGAAACCGACCGGGAGCCATCGGAAGAAGCTGAACATCTCAATGCCTCTGCAGGAGCTGCGGCCATTACCCTTCCCCGACGTCGAAACGGAGAAGGCACACACGCAGAACTCTGGGAGTCGGGGAGCAGACGCTGGTGGACCTGCAGCAGTTAGCAGATGTTGTTTGGTCGCAAGCATATATGGAAGTACCTATTGCGGGCGAAGTATGCCAGAGATGCTCTCTATCTCTTGCTGAGTCTCTCTGTTTCTGTTTGCGCGTGTGGGACAGACATGAATCGGAAGGAGATGCGGCACTTTGAACTGCCGCACCTTGCCTGCAGCCAACACCCTTCAGGGTCGAATATATCACGCAGGATGGCAGCCTACAGTTCTAGTGCGTGACAACAGCAACATGGTAGGATAAGGGCAGCTTTTTGGGATTTCAGAACTTTGCGCCAGAATATCTGTATGTGTAGCTTTGGGCACTTCCCAGAGTGTGTCGGCGACCTGATGGACATGGTCAGTGAAAGAGAAAGCAAAGCTGATAAAAGGCCGCGCCTCGCAGAGAAGACAGACACATCCTTTGTCTGCCCTGTCAAGCGTGCGTTGCTTGCCCCGGTCTGTGTGAGGCAAATCATTGTATCTCATCGCTGCTAAGTTACCAGGATGTCAGTCAGCTCACGACTGGCTATATGCCTTCCTCCCACGACGTGTAGAAAGGTGAATCGATGATGGTAGATGCACCCCATGACCTTTGGATTGCAGAACCGTCTCGCCTGTGATGGTATGAACTTGGCGTGGCATCCACCTGCAAGTTGAAGGAAGATGTCGAGTGTAACTCTAGTATGGGGGGCAGGCACAGGGCCCCTCCAGAGCTTTTCCACCACGAACCATTGAAGCAATCAGGAACTGTGGATTGCCCAAAGGCCACTCCTAACCCTGTCCGAAGTGCTGGTATGCTGGTACAGACAGATGTGTGGCAAGACGGCGAACTATTGCGTCGAAGATACCTCTGCATAAGCTGGCATGGAGGTGACAGAGTTGAACGCACGGGCTCAGTGGATGACCATTTCTTCCAGGCTGGCCGCGGGCGAGGTCCGACCTGGTGTCCGGCGCAGACTGGGCCTCGGGGAGTGATAGTCACTCTGACGATTTCGTATCATCACGAGTCGCTACCGCTGCTGCACATTGCTGCGCTACCATGGCCGCTCCTGCTTCTCAGCCAAGCAAGAATGGTAGCAACATACCAACGCAAGCAATCATGCAAACCATGCGTGGTAGCCGCGGTAGCCGCGACGGAGCGGGACGGGGAGAGTGGCAGCAGTAGCATCGCACACGCACTGTGGCAAAGGCAGGGGTTCGGAGGCACGGGGCAGGGCATGGAACAACGGGGGCAGGGGTAGGGCAGCGACCGGGAACAAACGGCAGGGCAAGGGAATGCCAGTCGTGGTAGTGTAGTAGTAGTAGTAGTAGTAGTAGCAGCAGCAGTAGCAGCAGCACTACTTAGTAGTAGGGGTAGTAGCAGCAGTAGGAGCCCAGATGCCTCCGTCGCAGAGTTCAGGAGCTCCATCACAGGGAGAGCGGTGGAAAACTGGAGGCCCGAGGGCAGCTACACTCAAGGCGCAAGGAAAGGAAAACCCCCGAGCAGCTTGTTCTTGTGATCCTGCATCACCCAGACTCCAAACGAGACAACCCTGAAGCCCTGAAGCGCGGCGAATCGCGTACGATGAGGCAAGTGAGATTGTGAGATAAGAGCCATAACACTAGAAGCCCCTAGATGTAAGTTGCTCTTCTACAACCCTAAACCGTAAACCCTGAACCCTAAACTCTAAATGGCCCCAAGCACTCGCGGCTTTTTGAGCCAGGAGGCACAAAAGGCGAGCGACCGGAGGGCTTCCAACCCCAAGAGGCACCGGTCGAATGTCAGGACGGTCAGGGTTTGGGTTTTGGGCTTAGGGTTTAGGCTTCCTCCGTAAAACCTTGTTCCAACTATTCAGGCTATTACAAAGGCTGTTACAGCAGATATTCAATTCTGGGGTTTGCTTGCAGTTGTAACCCCTCGCGGGCGGTCCTATCATAGGATCCTTCCATTCGGTGCCTGCCCTTCTTCCCGGGAAACTACAGTCGCAAACCCTTACATCCTA